ACAAACACAAACTAATTATCATCTATAGAACACCACACCTAACAGTGAGGAACACATGTTCTTTCCAAGTACATATGGAATATTTCCAAAGTTGGCCATGTACTGGGCCATGAAGCAAGTCTCAAAACAAATTTCATAAAGACCATGTTCTCTGACCACAGGGAAATTAAGCTAAAAAAATCAGTAATAAAAAATAACTAGAAAATCTTCAACTGTTCAGAAATTAATCAATGTGTTTCTAAATAACTCATGGATAAAGCAAAAACTAAACAGAAAATGAGAAGTATCTTGAACTGAATGATAATGAAAATAAAAAATATCAAAACTTGTGGGATGCAGATAAAGCTGTATTTAGAAGAAAATTGATAGTCTTAAATGCATATATTAGAAAAGGAGAAAAGTTGAAAACCAATGATCTAAGTATCTGCCACAATTATCTTGGGATAAAAACAGGAAAGTAAAACCAAAGAGAGGAGAAGAAAGGAAATAATAAAGATAAGAGCAAAATTAATGAAATTGCAAAGAAATGCACAATAAAGCCTATCAATAAAGCCAAATATTCTCTAAAAAAAGAAGTAAAATTGATAAATCCCTAATAAGACTGACCAAGATAAAAAAACAAGGCACAAATCACTGATGTTAGGTTTAAAAAATGGGTATTGCCTCAGATCCTATAAACATCACATAAACATAATGTGAGAATATTATCTTAACTGCTTCCCTCTGTAGACTTTGCTACTGTGAAGAGATTATGCTGCTTATTCCAAGCTAGTATTCAAGTCAATTTGGCAGTTATGATTTTTGAGGTCAATTAATAAATTGGCATTTCAGTTGCTAAACTGATGTTTTTTAAGTTTAGTTAGAGTTACTCAGTTCTATAATATTTGAAAAACCCTGTGAAAACTAACCAAATTGAGTTTTTGTACATGCAAAGTAGAAGACCATACACTAGCCCCAAAGCTATTCCAGACAATGGGCAGGTCTGCTGTAAGGCCCAGTTGGATCCTTTCCTTTGAATCACTAATTTGTAAATTTCCTCAGTTGTATGCTCACGTGAGATCACGTCTTATGTATATTTATATCCTACATATAGCAGAATAAGTAGAATTTTGCTAAGTGGAGGCAACACATGTGAAAAAGCATACGGGCAGGAAATGATATAATGTATTCAGGGAAGAGCAAATTTTCTGGCTGCAGAGTAGGACATTTGGGGGAGGGCTGAGGGGAAAAGCTGGCTGGACAGATAGGCGTGGTTCCGATTGTGAAAGGTCTTGGAACAGACATCTTCCTGTATATTTCTGGGACCCACTGAAGCTTTCCAAACATGGGTGTAACATAAGCAGATGTGTATTTCAGAAAGCACACAAGCCATTCTCAAAACTTCTCAAGCAAATGACTGTGCGTCTTATTTCCTTTCCTAGATTATAAGTAACAGACATATGGAGCCCTCAAAATATTTTTGATTGATTAGTTGGTTGATGGACTCTTTCCTTTATAAATAAACAAGCCAACAAAGTGCTTAGTTTACAAAGGTATTAGTTCTCTTCCAGCAGTAGTTTACAATATAGTAAAGAGATAACACTTATACACACAATACAGAAGGAAATGTACCAGGATTAAAAGGACATGAATTCTAGCTACATCTCTTCCATTTTATTTGTTTATAAAACAAATACTTAATAAGCACATATTATATGTCAGATATCTGCTAGACTACGTATACAGTGATGGGCAAAATAGGTATGCACCTTGTTCTTAGGGAACTTATGGGCCAGTGGGGGATAAAGATATCAAGCAATCCAAAAATTTATTCAGCATATATGTATTGAGTATCTGATACATACAAGTCACTGTTCTAGGTGTTTGAGATAAGGATGAAAAAACTGACAGAGATCTGTGCCCATACAGGATTTACATTCTAGTGGGAGAAGACAGAAAATAGACTCTAGACACAAAATAAATAAGTTTTATATATATATATATATATATATATATATATATATATATATATATCTTATCAGAAGGTGATAGGTATTATGGAAAAAGAAATAAAAAGTCAAGTAAGAGTTTTTCGTAATGGGGAGGGGGTACACGTGTTGGTTGGGATAGGTTGTCATTTTAAACAGTACAGAGTGGCCTTTTTGAGAGGAGGATGTATAAGCAAAAATTAGAAGAGTTTGGGGGTTTTAACTATGCAGATATCCAGGGGAAATGTGTTCTGGGCAGAGGGAACAGGCAATGTAGAGATCCTAAGACGGGAGCAGTCTGGAGTGTTCCAGGCACAGCAATTGAGGCCAGAGTGTCTGAAGCAGGGTAAGCAAGGGGGAGAGAAGCAGGTATAGGGGAGCTGGTGTAGATTTTGTAGGGCCTTGGGGATCATTGTAAGGACTTTGGCTTTTACTGAGAGAAGTGGGGAGCCTGTGTAGGGGTTTGAACAGAGAGCGATATGACCTGCCTTACAGCTTAGCAGGAAGACTGGTTTCACGTTACAACCTGTAACTAAAGCATAAGTGTGCCCTGAGACGGGATAACAGGGAGACTGAATTTATACCATATCTGTGTGGGGGCTGGCCCGGTGGCGTAGCAGTTAAGTTTGCATGCTCCGCCTTGGGCAGCCGGGCGTTCGTGGGTTCAGATCCTTGCCACGGACTGATGCACCGCTTGTCAAGCCGTGCTGTGGCAGCGTCCCATATAAAGTAGAGGAAGATGGGCAGAGATGTTAGCCCAGGGCCAGTCTTCCTCAGCAAAAAGAGGAGGTTTGGCAACTCAGGGCTAATCTTCCTCACACAAAATATCTGTGTGATCTTGGGCCCTAAGTTTACAATAGGGTAAAGAGATAACACTTATACACACAATACAGAAAGGAAATGTACCAGGATTAAAAGGACCTGAATTCTAGCTACGTCTCCTCCATTTTATTTGTTTATGAACAATAAACAAATGATAAACAATAAACAATAAGCCCCTCACCGGGTCATCAGGGAGGACCTAGTGACATGCTGTGTACATATACACATGTTGTAGAATATTATTCTTTGGTAATAATGCAGAATTGCATATAACCCAGTGCTGGGTTATGAGAAGTGTTTTAGCAGTTAAAGTACACATTCTCAAAAAGAGCAATATCACTCCCAAAGGGGTGAAAATGGGTTTTTCGGGAACAAAAAACTTATTCTGTTTATGTCTAAAGTGCAGAGGTACCTACAGTATGTAAGTAAGTAAGATACAGATACAATGTATCTGCAGTGTTTTAATTTTATGGGAAAAATATCTAAAAAGGATCTTTTGGGGCTGGGGTGGGGTTGGGGTTCTGTGACTATGAAAAAAAGGTTGGAAAAGACTGACTTAAAGGAAGGGAGCCAGCAGCAAGAAGATTACCGAGCTGGAGGTTAGGAAATCACAGCTGAAATCAGCTGCTCATTAACTCACTGTGTGAACTTGGACCACTCACCTCCCCTTTCTAGGTTTCAGGCTTTTCTCAAATGTAAAATAAAATGTTAGATTGAATGATCTCTTGGGTTTTTCTCCAGGGCTAAAATTTTGAGGAGCATTTGAGCTGGGGCTCCATTCAGTTATAAATGCCTGATATGGAACCTATCGTAATTTCTCAGATGTTTGGATCCATCAAACCTCACCCTTCAATAGGATAACGGGCTAGTATCATTAGCCTTTAAAGTCTGTCTCTGGCCTCTTTCCCATTATGTATTCTTTAAGTTGTCCCAAAAGCTAGAGTTCTCGAAATACTGCTCTAGTTTGCTCCAGAAGATTCTCAGATACAATATTGGAGCTAAGACTACAATGGAGCTTTGTCAATAAGATGCTCATCAAATGCTTTGGAACCTGTCCACCAAAGTTGCATTGCTTCTCAATTTTCACATGATTTCTAGACATTAAAGTCCCTTTACTATCTATTTGGATTGTCACTTCAAGAGAACGATGTACATGGTGTGGTGAAGGGAAGCAGGAATTAGCAGAACAGAGTGCCTGATTAAAAAACAAAGAGCTTGTATATTCGTGGCGTCTGTAGATGACATCAACTAGGAAACTTTGTGCACACAGTTCTTTGCTGCTTATTCCAGACCTGGGCCAATTGCACTAAGAATACCTTAAATAGTTTATTCTGTGTCCACTAGGGTTTTCGTTTCTCTTTCTGGCCCTCCAACTATATTTAAGTCCCTTGAACAGAGACTGTGTCTTCTAACTCTTATGCTTAGTGCTCAATTCAGGATCCTGTACATAACAGAATCTTAGTGAATGTTTGTTGACTGTGATGATCATCCAAATTTAAGAGGAAAAAATAAAACTCAAAGCCGTAAATCTTTGAGTCTCTTGTTTGGGGTGGTCTGTACTGATGTGCCCATAGACGAGACCATTATCTTCTTTTCCTTCTGCCATTTAATCACCTAGTGCTGTTTCCAGATAAGAAATGCAAATAGAATTTATTACCTAACTGGAGTATGTACAATTCATTTATCATAGGGTATCAATACTCAAAGAATTGTTTTGTGTACTGAATTCGGCTGTGAATAGATAAGTTACCATTGTGAAGAATTGTTCTCTACTGAATTGCGGGGACTTCTTGAATGTTGTCAACGTTTGGGGGCAATTAGAAGAGGGAACTCCACGTATTAACAAATGGTTAAATATTCAGAAATTTCACTATATACAGGGAAAATAATTCAATTCAACCTCTAGTCAATCCAAAGAATCTTGGAGTTACTGACAAGGAGGGAAATCCCAGAGTCTAGTTGAAAATATTCTTAGGAGTGAAGGAGTTAACTGAGGGTGTAAACTTTATCTTGTGTCCAGTGGACTTGTGCTTTGCTGATTAAAGTTTCCAGTAAATGATTGTTGGAGACCTGTCATTGATAGCTGCTGCTAGTTGCTGTGTTTCAAAAGCCCATTGAATCCTCTGCAAGGCAGTACAGCATCCTCTATCCTTTTACTTACTTCAGATCTGCTCAGGTCTGCCTGCGAAAGGATCTATCAGATCGAAAAACATGAATGGTGAAGACTACAGCACCATTTATGACACAGTTCAAAAAGAGAGGATGTATGAGGTTCCAGACCAGCCAGAAGAAGATGAAGGTCCTCTTTATAATAACATCCATGAAGACGTGAGGTCAGAAAACAATTTATATGCCACTAAGCTGGAAACCCATGAATATGACTCTGTATCAGTTTATGTTGTACGGGCTGAGGAGAACGGCGTGACCTCTTCCCAGCCCGAAGAAGAAGACTACTTCCTACCTGATGAAGCATATCCTGAGGCCCAGGATCTTCAACCAGGTGAGCCCCAGGAAGACAGGGACATCTTGATGGAAGAATTATACTCACCAACCCAGGACCAGGAGCCCAGCCCAGAAGAGCTCCAGGAGAACGGAAGAATGATGAAGGAAGACCTGCCATCTCCTTCAAGCTTCACTATCCAGCAGAGCAGGGCCTTCTCTGCCAGCGAGGCTGCCTCCACCTACTATTCTGCTCCTGATAGTTTGGAAGAAGATGAATTAGCTTCCGTGAACCCTGAGATTTACCTCTTTGTGAAGGTAAGGGCTGCCTCTGACAGGCATACCTGTACATGCAGATGGTGGAATTGGTGTTTTATTTTGCTCTGAGTGACCAGGGAAAGATGTATGGTATCATGGTCCTTGGATCTCAAAACATATTCAGTACAGAGAAGGGCAGATTGAATGAGTCATTCCAGAGTTCATCTAGGACACTCAAAATTACAAGAATTTGAAAGTGCATTTAAAGTGTATGTCCAACCCGTTGACCTTTATGTACCGTGGGCAAAGCATTTTTTAAGAGTTCACTTATGAGTGAGCAGAAATTGCTGCTCAAATTCTTACCCTTGTGACAGACATTAAGTACATTTTCCTGTCTGGTTCAATTTCCTTCGTCAACATGATTTTTAAAAATGAAACCAAGCTTGTTGAGAGATGGTCAAATCAACAGTCAGGCACTGGGGTTTCCTTCTTAACGTTTCTAAGGTCACAGATACTTCAGGTACGTGGTCAATAAATGTTACCTCTGTCACCGAGCTTGCCCTTTTGGCACCAATATAACTAAAATATCTGATGAAGTAACATGATTTCAGCAGCGGTAAGATGCTAATGGCCAGTGTTAATGTTTAATGTATATGACATTTAAACAAAGAGCTTTGGTGATCTTTGTATTAGACTGATACTGTAATAAAGATTATGGTTATGAAGATTATCAAAACATAAAAAGCAGTTCAGGGCTAAACATCATCTTTATTAATCAAGAAGGTAGAATATTTTTCTCCACCCTCCATCCCCCACGATATTCATATTTACATGTTTTTTTATATGAAGGCAACATATAAGGGCCCTTGCTCTCAAGAAATCAACAGTGTGGTGCAGGAGACGAGCATGCACACAGTTAATTTTGGTGAACAGAGAAGGGAGCAGAGTGCTGTGGGTGTTCTGGGCAGGAGAGCTACAGTGCGCACGAAGGAGCCAGAAGAGGGTCCATGGAGGAGGATGTTCAAGCAGCCTTCAGCCCCCATATCCACATCACCCTTGTGTTAGTTTCCCAAAAAACTGTTTTTTAAAGTGAGGACTAGGTGTATTTTTTCTCAAGACACAAGCATCCCTGCAACTTCATGCAACAGGCAAGGTGGATTATCATCATCATCGTTAGCACCAAGAAGACAATTATTCGTAAATTTGGCCAAGTGTTGATTTCATCAGAAATTAGCCTACCACTGGTGTTGAACCAACAGAAGTAGGAGGAAAAAGAAGTATTGGCATCCCCAGCTGGTACCAGCAACAGGAAAAACGGCATGATGGTGATGGGTGATTCCTAAATTATTTATGATCTGTAGTACTGTAAAGCAAATATTACATTTAATTAACCCTTTAAGTTTGCATTCTTTTTAGCATAATTATATTAACCAGGAGGTCAGAGAGCATTCCGTCGACCTCAGCTTCTGTGTGTGAACTCCTTTTTGAGGATACTCAGCACACTGAGTAGGAAGAGGGGCAGTTGTAATCCCTGCTTCTTAACCCCCCACCCCATCCCCAGTGCAGTTTCTTAGTCAATGTTGAATGGAAATGTAATATATGAAAACAGGTAAAACAAGGGCTGCTCCGCTTGTATGGGGTGGGGGGTGTAGGTATAAACTGCTCAGGCTCCTTCCTCCTCCCAGCTCCCTGGAGGGGGTGCTGAAACCCCCAAATTTGACGGGGCTCAGGTGTGCTCACCATCTTCCTAGCGGGGCTTGTTGCTATGCAGTCCTGGAAGTTCTTCACCTGGGCTGTTTTAGTGTACACCACTTGGGCTGCGTCTATACCAGTACTCATTGTATATGTTTCCACCTGTTCTAGACAAGTGAGTGAAAATTTCATGCAGGCTTGGAACTCTATGTTCAACCAACATTTTATGGAGGCTCAGCCATTTCAGGGTGTCAATCAATTACTTAAAGCATATCATTTATTTATTCATTCAACAGATAGTTATTGTGCCAGGCCCTGGGTTTACAACCATGAAGAAAACAAAGTCTTTGCTCCCATGCACTTTGCATTGTAGTGGGAGTGACAACTGAGGGACAAATAAATAAGTAAATATAAAATATGCCTGCTGGTAATAGTGCCATAAAGAAACATAAAACAGAATGATGGGTGTATTTATTTTCTATTGCTGCCACAACAAATTATCACAAACTTAATGGCTTGAAACAACACAAATTTATTCTCTTACAATTCTGGAGGTCAGAAATCTGAAATGAGTTTTATGGAGCTAAAATCAAGATGTCAGCAGGGCTGTGTTCTTTCTGGAGGCTCTAGGGGAGAATCTGTTTCCTTCCCTCTTCTAGCTTCTAGAGGCTGACCTCATTCCTCACTCATGGACCGCATTATGTCACGTTTTCTCCCCCTGTTTTCATCTTTACCTTGCCTTCTTCTGATCTGCCCCCTCCTGTGTCTCTCTTATCAGGACCCTCGTGATTAGTTTGGGCCCACCAAGATAATCCGGGATAGTGTTCCCATTTTCAGATCCTTAGTTTAATCACATCTACAAAGTCCCTTTTGCCACAAAAAAGTAACATTCATGGGTTCCGGGAATTAGGACATGGGCATATTTAGGAGCCATTATTCAGCCTCCCACAGCAGGATAGAGACTGATGGTGAGTAGGGGAGCAAGGCAGCAGCGTGGCTGGAGTGGGGTGAAGTAAGGTGGTAAGGTGGTAGCAGACGAGGCCAGAGAGGTGGAGGTGGGCACAGATCATGTGGGCCTTGTGGGCCAGTGGAAGAATTTTCACTTTTGCTTTTGATCTGAGTGATATGGGAGTCATCAGCGGATTTTGGAAGGAACATTCTGGCTGCCTTTTTGATAACAGACTGTAGTGGAGAAAGGGTAGAAGCCAGGAGAACAGTTTGGAGGCAATCGAAAAACTACACAAAACATGATGGCAATTGTAGTGGAGGTAGTGTGAAGTAGGCTTGGGATTATTTTTAAGAGAGAGCCCAGAGGTTTTGAGGATGGGTTTGATGTGGACTTCCTTCTTTCCTTCCTTCCTCTTCTCCATCCATTCAACATTCATAGCATACTTACTACATGCTAGGTACTGGATAAAAGATGAACACAGCATATCTTAAGTCCAACTATCCTATGGGGAAGACAGAGAAACACAATTCTTGAAGATAATAAGGGGGAAGAAATAATTGCTCCTTTGTCATTGGCTGAGATCCAGTGAAAAACAGGTCTCTAGTGAGAGTTGCAATCCATGTCATAGGGCAATCAAGAAGAGTTCTTGGTTCAGAATTTGCCACGTAGGATTATGAGACTTGTCTTGCTACTTTCTGCTAAAATTGAGGGACCTGTAGACATTTTCCTAATTGTATTTCTATGTGTGTGTATGAGAGAGAAAGATAGTGGGAGGGAAGGAGAATGGAAGGAAAGGAGAGAGAGAGAGAGAGGGAGAAAGAGAAGCATTCTGGCATTTTGTTTAATACAAAGGAAAAAAAAGTATTCTGATGATGTCACTGCAAAGAAAAATAGTACAAATGAACACGATTTGTCTTGCACGTAATTGATACCATTGACTATGGAGGACGGTACATGTTGATTGACTTCATTGACTACGGAGGGCAGTACATGTCGATTGACACAATTGACTATGGAGGGCAGTACATGCTGATTGACACCATTGAGTATGGAGGGCAGTACATGCTGATTGACACCATTGACCGTGGAGGGCAGTACATGTTGATTGACACCATTGACTGTGGAGGACAGTACATGCTGATTGACACCATTGATTATGGAGGGCAGTACATGTTGATTGACTTCATTGTCTATGGAGGGCAGTACATGTTGCAGAGCAGGTTTTGAAGTCAGGTTGCAGAGTTTTGAAGCCTGACTTAACAAGTTAATTTCTGTTAAATTGTTTAGCTTCTCTCAGCCTCAATTTTTTCATTGGATGTTATAATGACATGTTTCTCATAGGGTTGTTATGAAGGTTAAATAGGAAAATTTGTGTAAATTGTTCTGTATAGTATTTGACATATAGTAAATGCTCAAATATGGGATCCTAAATTATTATTTATTGTGATGAATTTGAACCATTCATAAAATAACAATTTTTATTTTAAGCACATCCAATAAATGTTAGTAGACCTTCAATAAATGTTCCATTACATTTAGTCTGTTACTGATCCTAAGATGAGCAGTGTAATATTGTGGACAGAGCCCTGGTCAGGAAATTCTAGCACAACTTTGCTAATAACTTGCTATGAAACACTCCTGGACCCAGGTTTCCTCGTCTCTGAAATGCAGTCCCTTCCAGCTCTAGCAATCTTTGATCCCAGGGTATATGGCTCCAGCACTTTATCAGCGTATACATGTATGGCACCACCTGTCGTCCACTCTAGGAGACTGCTCAATGTTGATTATGATCTCTAGATTTGGGTGTGGTTGGAAGACCAACATGAGACCAACACTCCTTTCACCCTCAGCTCATGTGAAGCCTGTTCCTTGGAAAGTTTCTGCAGAGCCTGTCTCTGATCAGGTACTGATAGGGCCCCCATGGAGGGCTGCACAGGTTGTGCACTGAACAAATTTAGGGGGCCTCATTTACAGAAAATGTAAATGGTGCCCCCCACCCAAAGTCAGACAACACTAACAGCCCTGGTTAATGTTTCTTAGATACATAGCCTGGAATCTTTGTTCTAAAGGAGTGACTGTCTATAATTTAGATCAGCATAGTAGAAAGCGTCACAGAATTGTCAGTAATTGTTACTATTGCTATAGAACAGGAGCCTGACACTATTCCAGGGGTCATGGTATCCAAAATAGGGTATTCAACATAATCCATGAGATATTAGAATATTATAATTAGAATAAAAAATATTAAGCAATATTTCCATTTAATTTTATTTAGTCATTTTATTTATTTAATTATTTTGTGAGGAAGATCAGCCCTGAGCTAACATCTGCCAGTCCTCCTCTTTTTGCTGAGGAAGACTGGCCCTGGGCTAACATCCATGCCCATCTTCCTCCACTTTATATGGGACGCCGCCACAGC